TGTGTTGCTCATACATTCAATCCATCGTAAACACATAAATTGAATACTCGAACCCATAGTAAATAGTATAAACAACCTAAAGGCACAATATCAACTAGAAAGATGTCTTTGTGTTCTTTGAATCAATGTCTAATTCTAACTTGGAAAGATATTTTCTGACTGAATATTCATAAATAGGGACCATTGAATTTTTTATAAAGTGTAAAAATACTTGCATAATGATCATAATTAATATATTAAAAACAGATTCTATACATGTGCATTTTTTACATAAATTAAATTTTTATGTTTTAAAACATTACAAACTTTTTATTCAAATTGTTTGAATCATCAATTGCAAAATTGTAATGCGTTCTGTTTTAATGTTAAACATATGAATCCATCTTAAACTTTTATGGATCTGGCACATACAAGACCCAGATGACAAATATTGTTCCTATATGGTCTGTATATTTTTGTCCTTAGCACTCAACTTTCCATTCGGTCCATGTCCTAATGACTCTTATGTTAATCTATTATACATTCAAATAGGAATGCATGGTGAAAGTCTTGTAATATGATATCCATCATTTGTTATCTTAAGAGACAAAACTGTAAGCAATGCACCATGGGACTATTTACATATTTCACTTCCGGATCAGCATCCATGCCTCATTACTCACTGTGCACAGTCGCCTAAATACACCGAGACAACCACACCATAATGCTCATATTCGAAATAATACCTTCAATTCGAAAACAAGAACACGTAAATCTAATTATTATTTCAACACAAAATGAGAGTAATAAAAGCTCTAAAAAAGACGGCTTACATTTGTGGGTATTGTACCGGAAGTAATAATTGTGACCTGAGTTCAACTCGTTGACTGGTGGGAAGGATGATTCTTACAGGCATTTCAAAAGTAAAAATGGACCACGATTTCAAATCAGGTCTAATTTGGCACAACTCCTTGCATTTACAACTTTGAAGTCAATCATACTGATCATAAAGTTGTCTCACAAAAATAGGGAACTATCTACAGATGTATTGTACAACCAGTCATAAAACCATTACAAGTGCTGCTGTTACCATTTAATTTTATGTGACTCTAAGATCCAATTGTCGTGTTTCATTTAATAAAGATAACGTTATTAGTGGTGAACATTGCTGTACGTCTTACATTGAATTAAAGTATAACATGGATTCCTCCAATGTTCTACGCTAGTGTGCCCAATAATATGAAATAGTACAAATGCTTTATTAAAAAATCGCTTGTCTTTAAAATTATTTTTGCTTACGTCAGTGGGTTGATGAAAACGTATTGGAAAGGTCATGAACTCGGAAGTCATGTGCAGTGAGCTTTATCCCTACATGTAGATTATTTTTAGTAAAGTAACACATTATGCAACAATTTCGTAAATTCTCTGAACTCCATATCACAAGGTTTACTTTGTTTCTTTTGAATTCGTTGCCCTTTAAGGAATTATAAGTAATAACTACTAAGAAAATTACTTGCTTTTATTCAGTAAGGTATGCATTATTAAGCATAACTACTAAGTAATAATTACTAAGCATAATTACTAAGTAATAATTATTAAGCATAATTACTAAGTAATAATTATTAAGCATAATTACTAAGTAATAATTATTAAGCATAATTACTAAGTAATAATTATTAAGCATAATTACTAAGCATAATTACTAAGTAATAATTACTAAGCATAATTACTTAGTAGTAATTACTAAGCATAATTAGTAAGTAATAATTACTAAGCATAATTACTAAGCATAATTACTAAGTAATAATTACTAAGCATAATTACTAAGTAATAATTACAAAGCATAATTACTTGCATTGAAGGTATGCATTATGTGCATCCAAAACTAAATTACCGGCCTCCCAAGCTCTTTCACGCTAAATCAGAGTAAGAGAAAAAATACATTTATTAATTTTAAAGACTTGAGTTTAGTAATTTAATGCATTAATTGGAATTTTAAATACAATATGGTAAGCAATTCAATTAACTGTTGAAGACGCTGTACTCTTAATATTTCTATAATATCAATTATAAAATATAGTATTTGATAGATTGTTCATTCTGTATTGGGATTTGTTTTTATAAACATACCATTGTATATACCGTGATAATAATTGTGTTATCAACTTAATGTTCCAGAACACTTAATTTAGAAATACCTTTAAAGTTGTAAAACATGATATCTCAGATCATAACCCAATGCGCTCAATAAATTCTGTACTACAAAAATAGTTTTGAAATATTGAATAACTGCTACAATTTAAGAATTTAAATTAACAATATTTAATTATTTACACTAAATTCTAGAAGACATATTCCGGAGTTTATAAAGCTGGTATGATTTATGTGTAGTTCTATATCTATACTCTATAACCTCAGATTTGTAATTTTCTATATAACGCGTTGTTTGATTTAATAAAAAGGGACGCTGTACTTGAAGTCCAACTTAGAGTTTTACTTTATCTTATAGTTTGAACCTGGTACCCTCTCGCACACCAGCAATGTAACCACCGTGTATCGTGAGGATTGACACGTCTGCAAAAATCTCTATTCTTCTTTCTTTTGATCTGAACCCTATCACATCAATAAATAGCATATGACGAAGAGACCTTATATATACAACTGATTGCATACACAATTGGGAGGACACTTTCTTACAAAACAGTTGGTGGAAAGTGGAGAACATTGCATAATAAATTCTGTGGACAATTCCCTACAAAACAGTTGGTGGAATGTGGAGAATATTGCATAATAAATTGGGAGGACACTTTCCTATAAAACAGTTGGTGGAATGTGGAGAGCATGGGAGGACACTTTCTTACAAAACAGTTGGTGAAATGTGGAGAACATTACATAATAAATTTGGAGGAAACTTCCTTACAAAACAGTTGGTGGAATGTGGAGAACATTGCTTAGTAAATTGAAAGAACACTTCCTTACAAAACAGTTGGTAAAATGTGGCGAACAGTCTTCACATGGCACTGCAATCCAACCTTTCATGGTGTAAAACTAGCATTGGCACCAAATTTTAAAAGAATTCTAACAAAACATAAAACCAAAACAAAGCCCAGAGTATAAAAGCGAATGTTTGTATGTGAGGGACATCTCAGAGGACTTTCAGTTTTTCTGTCTTAAGCTGAATTGGTTTCTGGATGAAACACATTTCCTCCTTTCTTGTCTGTCTCCCATATGCTGGAAAAATGAACTTGGATTACTCTAAAGTATATTATCTTCAACATGTATTAAAATAGAGTAAATAAAAATTGCAAGACCAAACAATACCAATTTCTGAAAGTGCAGTGTATGAATTACAAAATATATGAAAAGTACAAGTAATCTATTTTTTTGGCAAAATATAAAATTATAGAGCGCAAATTAAAATTGTTGATGTTTGTTCCGAATGCACGTTATATGCACACTTATTTCTTGCACTGAATTATGGGTATTCATAAAGTTACAAGCGCTCAAGTCTTACGTTTTGGAATTGTAAGTTGTAAGCGCGTTCTTTTAATCTATTCAACGAACGTCCAATTTCCATTTGCAATGTATTGCCAGCATGGTGGTAGTGGTTATCAGTGTTGTAGTATCCAAAAAAGTGAGAGAAGGCAATAAAGCACTCACGGTACTAATTCAGTTCTCATAGTAAACCTATGTAAACAACATTAAAAATTCAATAACTTTAAATTTCTTAGTGCCCATTATCAAACCTGTATTTATTATTTCAGATGAAATATGGATATCATTTTCAGTGTAGAGGAAAGGATATGAGCCGATGCATTTTCTGGCCTTATATGTGTTTCCAATTCCGCACGAAAGATTCAAATATTAATTATAGTAATGGGTGTTCCAAAGTCAAGACTGTTAAAAGGCTGGAATTCCATCAATAAAAACAATGTCTCTTACTTTTTCCCACTTAGGATAGGAATCTTCTTTTTCCTAAAGCATAACTTATATTATTAACCAATCTCAGTCGGCCAGGCCCATAAATATTCTATTAAATGTGCACTCATTTCCAATCTGGTTCCCTTTTTTCCATACCATTAGTATCGTGTGTCCTAAAGAAGTGAGTGGACGCATATTAGATGTCGTTTGATGGGGGATGGGATGGCAAACGCAAAAAACAGCACAGCATAATATTCATGGTTGTTAATGGCATAATGTTTACAAACTCGAAACTCTAAACGCACGTAAACTTTTGGAACCCATTATACCTATCTTATAACTTTTCAATCAGCATATATACGAATTTAATAGAACTGCTAACTAGTTTATATCGTGCTCCTTGGGCGATTGCCACTGCCATCTTATGCATTCTAAGTATTATTTCACTTTTAATATTTTACCTTGTGTTCAAGTACAAGAATGAATGAAAGATGTACGGATGAATACAGGGACACATTTGGAGTCTTTCGCATTTATTTTTTGGAGTAAATCAATGCGAGGCAAATACTAAGGTTTTGTCAAGGACAATTTACACAAAATTCCCGGGCATAGATTAAACATGGACACATCTTTCCACCTTTTTGGTTCATAACATTTGTATAATTTAACGTATTATAAGCAATATTTTCTCTTTCGTCGTGTGTTAGAATCAAGCAACTATATTATACAAAATACTGCAAGAGGTTTTCGTTAACGAATTACACCCCAGTCAGCGAAGCGGACAAATCAAGTTTCATTTCATGCAACAAATTTTAAAATGAAAAGATTCCAATTATCAAATATATTCAGAATAAAGAATTCCCTCTTTGCTGAGTAAAATTGACATTGCAATCGATCTGCTTAATCGAAATCTTATTTAATGATCGTCATTCCAAATTTGACGATATGTATGTGGGTCAATATTTTTTTGTGTACGTCCCTCAATCTACCTTTCTTTCTCTTCATTTCCTCTTTGGCCATTTTGCTTTACACACCTTTCTCCTTTCCTTCCTCATTCCTTCTACTCCACCCTTCTTTTTCGTCGGTTCTATTTTTATGCCGACCTCTCCGGTGGCCTAGTGGTTAGAGCGTCCGCTTCAGATGCGGGGGTTGTGAGTTCAATCCTTGGCCGAGTCATACCAAAGACTTACAAAATAGTACTAACAGCTGCCTCGCTTGGCGCTCAGCATTAAGCGGTTAATGTTAGGATTCGTTTGTCTGGTGTGAGGATAACGTGGCTGGGTGGGACATGATGCCAAATGTCTGCGTCTAGACATGTGCTAGACATGACTACAAACTGCTACACTGCGGATATCGTAGCAACTGAAAAATTGTTTTAGCTTCGTGGAAAATTCAACACACACACACGCACGCACACACACCACTTATTATTGTGCCGTTTCGCGCGTGCATTCTGGAAGCTTCCTGAAGGAATACGACAAGGAGAGAAATTATTGCCTCCCTACCCCATCTTTCGGGAAATTCCCTCTCTTACAGAATTTCCGTCAGATTATCACCCCTACAAGGTGATTTGCATAAACAAAGATGAGTGCTTACATAACTTGCATATGCTCAACAATGTATGAATGATATTACTTTCATGAATATGGTAACACACAGAAATCAAGCTACTTTATGTATACCTAGGCATCCGAGTAGCCGAGTGGTCTAAAGCGCTCACTCTTTCCGATCGCTGCAATATCACCTCTGCGTAGGTTGGAGTCTTGGGTTCGGCCAATATAGGCTGTGAAAAGGGTGCCAGTAGCTTATCGTATCGTTTCTTGGCGGTTTTTTCCAGAGTTTTCCGTGGATTTTTTCCACCACCATTTATACTGGTCTCCATGTGTAGCCTATGTTGTGCTCAAGAATGGCATCAAGCCATATAACAACATCATATACACCCATCTCGTGAAATGGAAACGAAAAGGCAATTATGTCATTTGCTCAGAACAAATTATATATATATATATATATATATATATATATATATATATATATATATATATATATATATATATATATATATATATATATATATATATATATATAATAATAATAATAATAATAACTTCACCAAAAAAAAGAAATAGTACATACACGTTGGTGAAAAAGGTAAGGTGCCAGTGCTACGTGAATCATGTGAGGTAGCACGGACCGAGGTATCACAGACAGTGCCAGATCTCCCCCCGCCCCAAAGTAATACCCACCATTCCCCCATACAGTATGCTAATCATACAATATAATATCCTACTGTCGATTTTCCGAGTCAAAAGGAACCAACACAAATAGATAACAACCACAACAATATAACTTTTGAAGCGAGCCTTACAAGAACACAAATATAGCTTACACAACAATTAGCAGAAACACATATCCCAGGCAAGGATCACAAAATGTAAGTAAGAGTTTTATTTAATACTAGAATAGGGAATGTGTACAATCCTTACTCAAAATGTTTAAAATCGAAATTTAATTGAAATATAGTTAATACTAACAGCACATACTCTATGGTGAAACAATGACATAAAGCAATTTTACTTTCGTCACTATGGGGTCTCTCCGATGATGTTAATTCTGAGAGGGACAACATCAATAAAACATAATCGAGTAAGTGGTTGTTTACATTGTTTTTACTTCGAGATAATCCATATTGCCTGGAGTGCATGATGTCTTGGACTAGTAAATAAATAAGTGTGAATTGTATTCCAGAAAGTGTTAAAAAGCTTGTGTTGTTGATTGATTTTTTTCTATTATATTCAACACACATGCGTAACCTCTCGAGTTTAATGGTACCAATTGCACTTTATGTTTATTGGGTAAATTCCTCTAAAACATCTATGGATGAAGCCGTTGACATTGTTTCTCTGAATAAATGATTATGTGTCAGAATGAGATATTATCTTTTTATTTCATTCCTTGATAAATATATCATGTACACGTAAAGATAAATAGATCATGTACACGTATAATTAAAACATCATGTACACGTATAGATAAATATATCATGTACACGTATAGATAAATATATCATGTACACGTATAGATAAATATATCATGTACACGTATAGATAAATAGATCATGTACAAGTATAGATAAATAGATCATGTACATGTATATATAAATAGATAATGCACACGTATAGATCAAAATATCATGCACACGTATTGTAAAAATATCATGCACACCTATAGATAAAAATTTCATGTAGACTTATAGATACATATATCATGTACAGTTATAGATTTTTAATATTTATCCCAAGAGATGCCATTACATTAATGCGACTGAGCACTGATATTAGGTCTCACTTGACAGTTTATTATGACATATTTGCATCCGACGATGACATATTGCAGAAAATTATAATATTACATTAAAGATACAAAAAAATCTAATTAGTGATTTTTTTTGTTAAAAGGATACTTGTTAGATTCTGACTGATGTATTAGGGTTATTTCCTTATATAACTGGTGGCTTTCATACTGAACAAATACTACCACCAATCGTTTTACACTCATTTTTGACAGAAATGAGCTAGTTTGAACATTTTTCTGAGACAAGGCGGCTAAGAGAATCAGTATGTAACTTATTCATCTTTTAATTTCACTAGTTCTATAACAATGTAACATCTTTCATTAGCCCTAAACCATATAGATTTTTACATATTTACCTCTGTAGCAGACATAAATGCGCAAGCCTAGTCGGTTGCTCATTTTGCAGCCCAAGTTACGCATTTGATCTCCATTGCTAGTCCAACTGTCAGCAAGTCACCAACAAGCCAACCCATTGTCAAGCCTAACTCAGTAAAAATGTAAACCACATTACAGATTTAGATTGTGTGTGAATATACAAATGCAATGGTTGGGATAATTAGATTCATGCCTTCTAACTTAAAAATTAGAGTGTGTGGAAATGCGAAACTATCCAGCGAGAGCTCAACAATTAGCACCTAAATATATCATTCATCACGAAAACGCTTATAATGCCTGGTGACGCGTGGATCCCGTTTTTTTTTAAACCAGAAAATACCCAAACATTGATCCTTATGTATTGAATTTGGAGACAATTGCCATCAAAATTGGTAACAGACATTGATATATTGATATATTGTCAAAAATGTCAGATAGGAACGGGAAATTTTAAACATGAAATTAAAAGCATTCAATAAGAAATCATAGTTTGTTAAATTTGCTTTCAAATTGATATTTATATTACACCTTAATTAACTATATTCAAGGCAATTTCGATAAATGAAATGTCGCTTATATCTAGCACAGCATTTACTGCATACATATTAAATAATTTATCAAGTGGAATTCGTGTTTTGTTTAGTTCCTTCTTTTAGTTCATTTTAAGCTAAATCATTATAAATGCAATAAACAATTGAAAACGTAAAATGTGTCAGTCTATCAGAAGAGCCATGTGAGAACAATTGTACATGGAAACCTAATTTAGTGCCGAACTTATTGTAACAAATAACTTAAGGAAGTATTTGTTGTATTGTTGCACTGAATTAAAGGCTGTACTTTGCATTATCACGTCAATTAATGTCTCCTGAATCAACTAAGGAGGTGGCTTTAAAGAAAAGTTAAGTGATGAAAATCGTACATGCTTAAGATCTTGTGCCAATGGTTAAGTAGCAGAGAGACTGAACAGACAAATTTGCCTGAGACCTTATTTTTGAAAATTAAGGGTTCCTACGAAGGCTGAGAAAAAACATTTTTGCCTTAATAGTAAAACTTTCTTTAAGTGACCAGATTTTTGCTCGATTTATTCAAGATGTGGTCACTACAAGTATGTATTTCAGCCTATCTGCTGCTATGAATTAACCAAAGATTTTATCTAAACCTACACGATACCTTGATCTAGGATCCTGTAAATTTATCGTTATAAATCCAAAAGGATCAGCTTGTGCTTTAGAAAAGAAATTTTTTAATTTAATCATATTCATGTCCCTTGAACACCAAGTATAATACTGCGTGGTGTTGATATAGCCGCTTCATAAGGAAATTACCAGGAACTCCATTGGCAAAATATCCTGGTGAGAAACACCTTCTCTGATATAATTGTTGAGGTCCTAGAACGCGTCTCGATATCAGACTCGATAACCAAGATCGACCTAAACCTGGAGAGTATCCAGTAAATAAGATAGATCAATCGTGTCACACTCATGATGTATCGTATAAAAATCCTGATTTGAAACAACGGTATCACGCAGATATAAAGTTGATTCACGAAGTAAATTCTGTACCTAATAAATCTCTCAGAGAATCTCTCTCTAGCTTTCTAATAAAATCTGCTATGAAAGGTAAACTATTGATAGGATCTGGTAAATTAATCAACTGATTATTATAATGGAATCTATTTATTATTCCCCGAAAGGATACTGGCGAGGTAACACAGCGATTAGCAAACTTGCCCCTTCAGCAAACGTTTCAGGTGATGCTGCTGAAACGTTATTTGCACTACAGGCAATATGGCAAATCTTTCTAAATCCACCTAAAAATATTCAATACGCATATTTCGATGTCAACGTTCCTAATGAAGTTCATCAAGCGGATATCTTGTTTTTATCACACGATACTATTTAAGCAGGTAGACGTCAACACACATACAGATACGCTTTAACCGTCGCTGACGTTGCGAGCAGATATAAAGAAGCGGAGCCGCTATCAACAAAGACAGCATCTGAAGTTGCGTCTGCGATAAAACAAATTTATCAGCGAGGTCCATTACAATGGCCAAAACTCCAACAGGTTGATCCTGGCAAGGAATTTCGTGGTGCAGTATCTTCTCTGATGAACAAGCACAACGGTAAAATCAGACAAGGACACGCGGAGATTCATCGTGATCAGGCAATCGTTGAACAATTTAATCGAACACTTGCAGAGCGGTTATTCGGTTATCAATATGCAAAGGAAATATCTGCTGACTTAAAGACAAAGGAGAGATCTCGTGAATGGGTTGCGAGGTTACTGAATGTGATAGCTGCGCTGAATAAGGAAGTTACTCGTGCAATTTTTATGAAACCGTCTGATGCGATCACAAAAAAATATATACCGATAAAACGTAAATCTATTTCTCAACCAGAACTAGGCAATGTTATGGTTAGATATTTATACGAACCAGGCGAACT